CCATGTTCCGCCAGTTAACCCGGTCCTGTGCTTGTTGCTGCCAATTTATACCCAGAAACTTCTTAATCTCATCTGCCCACCTAACCTTCTGTCTCCCCCTAATCCGCTTGCCTTCTCTGGGAATCCAGTTAGTTACCCTTAACGACCAGCGGTTATCCTGTCTACACGCTACATGCCCGGCCCATGTCCATTTCTTCTTCTTGATTTCAGCTTTGATATATTTTTACCCCCGTTTGTTCCCTAATTCACTCTGCTCTCTTCTTGTCTCTTAAGGTTACACCTACCATTTTGCTTTCCATTGCTCGCTGTGTCGTCCTCAATTTAAGCTGAACCCTCTTTGTAAGTCTCCAGGTTTCTGCTATAGCTAAGTACCGGCAAGATACAGTTGTTATATACCTTCCTCTTGAGGGATAGTGGCAATCTACCTGTCATAATTTGAGAGTGCTTGCCAAATGTGCTCCACCCCATTCTTATTCTTCTAGTCAATTCATTATCGTGGTTCGGCTCACGGTTATTACCTGCCCTAAGTAGACATAGTCTTTTACAACTTGAAGTGCACTATTACCTATCTCGAAGCGCTGCTCCTTTTCGAGGTTGTTGTACATTACTTTCATTTTCTGCAGATTAATTTTAAGACCCACCTTTCTCCTCTCCTTGTCTAACTCCGTAATCATGAGTTGCAATTCGTCCCCTGAGTTACTCAGCAATGCAATGTCATCGGCGAAGTGCAGGTTACTAAGGTATTCTCCATTAACTCTTATCCCTAACTGTTCCCATTCTAGGCTTCTGAAAACCTCCTGTAAGCATGCGATAAATAGCATTGGGGAGATTGTGTCCCCCTGCCTTACACCCTTCTTGATTGGTATTCTGTTGCTTTCTTTATGAAGCACTATGGTAGCAGTTGATCCCCTGTAGATTTCTTCCAGAATGTTTATATATACTTCATCTACGCCCTGATTCCGCAGTGTCTTCATGACGGCTGATATTTATACTGAATCAAACGCCTCCTCGTAATCAATGAAGGCTATGCATAGTGGTTGGCTGTATTCTGAGTATTTCTCTAATACCTGATTGATGGTATATATGAATGTGGTCGATTGTTGAGTAGCCTGTTCGTAATCCTGCTTGTTTCTTTGGTTGATTGAACTCCAATGTTTTCTTTACTCTGTTAGCAATTACCTTTGTAAATAGCTTGTATACTACAGAGAGCAAGCTAATCGGCCTGTAATTCTTCAAGTCCTTGTCATCTCCTTTCGTATGTATTAAAGTGATGTTAGCGTTCTTCCAAGACTCTGGTGCTCTTTCCCATCAGGAGACACCTCCTAAACAGTGTGGCTAGTTTTTCTATCACAATCTGTCCTCCATCTTTCACCAGATCTGATGTTACCTGATCCTCACCAGCAGCTTTGCCTCTTTGCATGCTCTCCAAAGCATTTCTGACTCCTTCTATCATTACTGGTGGGGTGTCATCTGGGTTACTGCTAGTTCTTATAGTATAAAATCGTGGTTGTCCTGGCTACTGTACAGATCTCTGTAAAACTCCTCTGCTATTTTAACTATCCTATTCATATTGGTAGTTATTCTGCCTTTTCTTTGTCCCTTAGTGCATACATCCGATGTTTGGCTATCCCAAGTTTCCTCTTCACTGCTTTGACGCTTCCTCCGTTTTTCAGAGCGCCGTAGGTGGCCTTAAGACCACGTAGTGGGCGAATTGTAAGTTCGATAGCTGTTCGTTTTTTAGTGTTCTTTAACTTGCAAGTCAGCTTTTGAATACAGCAAGTGCGGTACATAATTATGTTCATAAGTCCACTTGATTGCAGTCTTCTGAAGGTTTCTTCACACATTACCTTTACATGAGCTCGTCAGCCCTCTGGAATTATGCACACAGCACATATCACGAGGCGTCATTTCATGAGACAAGCTCGGCACCATGTATATTTAGGGTTTTAGTATTAAGGGGGGACACTGGTCTGAATTTTTTTTTTTTTTTTCAGTGTTTCCAGCTGAAATTTTAATACAATATGCATTTTTCACAGCTGAAAACAAATATGCAATTAGTTTTTTACTATCACTTTTAGATTTTTAAATATTGACTGTTACATAAACTTGCATTCTGTCCAGCCTTTTGACATCTTCCTCATAAAATATTGCTACAAATTTGATATGACAGCATTCCATGAAGGCCAGGGAGTGCAACAAAACCATAATTTTATTTTTAGCTTCATTGGTACCAGAGTTATAGCCTTAACAAGTATACTCATTAGAAATCTGAAACTGTTGCTTAAGTTTGTTTGCTAATTAAATCACTATTTTAAATAAAATATTACATTTTTTTGGTTTTCTTGCACTAATCAATGTATAAGCTTTCAAATGCTGCAAAAATTATCAAAATCTGAACTGCTACATCAAAGATAGTGTGGGCACTGGCTTAGGGTGTGATGAAAAATGTTGTTTTGAAGAAAACTAGAAAAGAAGTTTAGGAACATGCTGAGCACTTATATTTAACAAGAAAAGGTGTGAATCGGTGCATTAATCATGTTAGAAGCCACCAGGAATGTAGTCATCATCATTCTCCTTGGTGCGCTTTCTTTTCATGGCTTGCTTGAAGTTTTCAGCATGCTCATGCTTCTTCTCCGATGCCACTAGTCGGCGACTGTCCTTTTTTAAGCATCTTTCAGCGGCCACAACACTCTGCTGCAGGTGCAGCTCCTTCAATATGGCGGCATCCATTGCCACATCACGAACTTTCCGGCTGACGGTGGTGAATGACTTTGATGCATTGGCTTTTGCAAGCTAACAACTGCCGCAAATCGGACCAGCTGCTCATAGCCTATTCCTAGAGAGCACGCCGCACAACGGCTTTCACTTGCGAGCAATGCCTTTTTTCATTCATAACGGAGATGATTATACGAGAAAAGCATTGTTCAGCTGCGCTGCTCGACAAGACATGGACCCCGCAAACAGGTTTCACAGCACATACAGGCGCGCAGAGGCCAATGGCGGTCCCCGATTCGTATCATGTGATGAACCAGTCGCAGCGCTCGAAGAACTCACAGAAGAGTGATTCTTTTTGTTATTTCTTGCGCTGCACTAGCGAGAAAAACTGTTGTTATTTGAAGAGTGAGGCTCGACTCTTCTACTCATACGATCAACAATGGCTAGCGGCAGCGCATTATTAGCGGCAAGGTGCTCGAAGAATGCGTACTTTCGACCTTTTAACTCTCACTTTGTGCTCTTTAGATGAAGTTTTAAAGCATTTCCAGTTAAGTCTCGACCTGTAATATTTTTTTTCATAACAGTAGAGGTACTAATCTTGTCGAAACAGGCGAAAATAAAAAATCGTTTTTTTGAAAAAAAACTCGCGTTTTTCGACCGGCATTTCTCCTTAAAGCGGCCCAACCAGCCACGCTCGCTCCGAACTGGTCGTGCCCGAGGATGCTGGCAAAGTCCAGTGCCTTCTGCTGTAGAATTTTCCCGACAGTGGCACTCTGTTGGCACGCTATTATACTTTAATAGCGTGCCAACAGATACTTAAATACTTTAATAGCGTGCTCAGGACAACTATTCTATTTCTAACAAATACAGCAGGCGAATTCTGTGCTTTGAGAAAGCTAAACTTGTTTTTTTCATGAAAAGAATTAACAAGAAGCACAATCATTTGAACAATTTAGGTGGAAGATGAGGTAATTTGACATTGTTGGAAACGCAATGAAAACAGTGAAAACCAGCATCATCTCAACGTTTTCCAGCTTGAATTGTGCTTGCTTTCAGTCAGTATTTGATTTATGCGAAAAAGAACACTCGACGTCCACTGAAGTTAGTGAAGCGTACTTGTGGCCTAGCACTTTCAATGCTTAAATTGCATCCAGAATATTTACTGATATCAGCACCACCCGAAACTTTGTACACTTGCTTTAGCACATACAATTCGAGATTCTTTTCAAGGCAGATTTAAGCTTTAAGGAAACCCTGTCAGCCACCGGTCTAATGGGACGAGGCAAACTTTTCCTGCACATCTGAAAAAAAAATCGGGTATCCGTAAGCTTTCCCTTTAAGCGTTGAACGCGATAGCGATATTCTGTCCCCGGTGCGTACTTCAACAACTTTGTGCATACTTTTTATTGCGTGATGTTACCTGAGAAGTTTAAATTGTGGATTACTATACAGTGTAAGCGATAAAGTTGAAAGTGGCACGTGTCAGTGAAGCCTTCACATATGACTGCATTCTGTGTAATAAGTGCATGCAAATTCACAGATGCAAATATAAAAATAACGAAATGAATCTGTGTGCCCTTGTAATGGCCACAAAATACATCTTATTTATGCTGATCCAGTAGTTATTTAAAGAATTGGCAGTTGCATAAGCAATGTCGGAAGCTATATGCCTATCCGTGCTACAGATAGGACATCAAACTCAAAATATTGACTTTTTCAGTGTCTTCTAGTATTTCCTTAAAAAACTTTGTCTGATTTGATTTTAACGACTTCATAAATTTTGGCGATTTTGCCCCTGTGGGTTGTGCATTGGTACATAAACCAGGGTTGCTCTCGACATCTCCAAAGAACATTAACAGAACACTCGATAAAGCAACAGAAGAAGAAGTCAACCCAGCTAGACATTTTTGTTAAACACATGGAAAGTTTCACTTGCACAACAGCACTGCTATACAATAAATAGAACTATGATTACATTTAGCAAGTTGCAGGTGACGGACCTCTTCATAGAACGGGCGTGAGAACATAGCCAAAGCGATGTTGTGCCCCGGGCACTCGATCGTCACCTGCTGCTTAAACTCTCCACTCCTCGGACAGTGCGACGCTCATATGGTTTGGTTGCAAAGTGTTGCTGGCAAATATGTCTTTGGATGCAGAGCAGATTTCGCTCTTAAGGTACTTAAAGAAAGAATGACAACTGAAACACCTTCAGTAGGTTTTACCAATGCATTGTATTGTGAACACTGGATGAAAATCATTCTCACAATGGGTGCCTCGTTGTGCAGACATCAAGGAGCAGGCTCGCCACATTGAGAAGGCGGTGACCAGCAAGGAGCCGAGGTTCATTCTGCGCATCCTGCGAGCGCTGATGCCCACTCGCAAGCGGCTCAACGACCGAGTTGCTGCGCAAAATCGTCACGGGCTTCTTCACCCATTCGAGCCAGGACAGGGAAGCCCTGTTGGGATGCCTCGAAGAGGTGCGTCTCCACTATGCTTGCAGTGTCGATAGGTTTCAGTTTGCAGGAACAATCCACTCACAGGCACACATTACAACTGGCTGAAATAGTGGTGGTATTTATCTCAGTTGGGAAGCATTTACTGTGCAGAATGACATCAGCAAGTGTAAAGTCAAGTTCTCAAATTACTGTTTACTCTCGTCGAAATGGACCATGATAATCCGGAAAAGTGAGTCCCCCGTTTTATCTGAGGTCCACGATATACAAATGGAACAAGGTCTAGGGTGGCATCACTGTGTGACGATCGTTTTGATTTGGCTCAGCAGTATGGGACAGGCTTGTTTTGCTGATATATGCTGAATGTATTCAACAGCATTGTTGTAAAACACTTCAATCACCACCAGCGGTTATTGACAAAATTGCAGTGAAAGTTTTAATAAATGAGTGAGTACAGTTACAGTAGGTACGGGCGCTGTGTAGCCCCTGCACAGCAGCCAAGCTTAGTCTGATAATAAAGCATTTCTAACAGGCTTTTTCAGTCTTCTATCTTGATCGCCTAGAATAATTCTCTCTTGTTTATGTGCACATTCTTGCTTAAAATATTGTAGCGCTACATTTGACGAGGACATGACAGGACAGTTGGTGACTCCACAATCCCTGCAATGTGTTTTGTTAATCCTTTAATGCCTGAATTATGAAGCTGCTGAACAAAATAAATAATTTTTCATTTTACAGCTTTAAATACAGTGGAACTTTGATTATACGTCTCCCGGTTTCGCAACGACCTGCATTTTACGATAAATCAGTTTGGTCGCAGCGAAATCCCCATATATACAATGTGTTAAGAACCTTGGTTCTACGACGCAGTTTTCCGCAGACTCTGCATCTACGGTGACTATCAGATTCTGTCAGAAAAAAAAATAAACACTTTTACTCGAATCACATGTCGACCAAATATTCATGAGTACAAAATATGAGCCTGCGTACCCCCAGGCGCACTACAGGAAAAGTCATCTTCAATGAATGGAAAATTTATTCTCCCGGAAGTTCATGCACATACATTTCACTCGCGTGCATACGTATCCGGGGTCATTACCTAGTCAAGCTCTATCCACATAGAGTAAGTGTAGCTGACCAAAAAGCTGATATTTTCACATTTTCAGTCCGTGAAAACATTTCCTGGTCAACATACAGCTAATCTCCTTGCCTCTTCGCAGCACTCGCAGTCACTAGTTTTGCGCACTTAAAGGGCACGATGCAGCTACTTTCGCCGTGCCAAATTACTTTCACTTGACGTCAACGTTCATAACAACAGCAGAACACCACTAGTTGCACTTCATGAGGCAAGAAATTACAACGCGCACAGCTCAGTTGCGCGCAAACACATCGTACATAAACTCGTTCGTTGCCATTATGTGATAGCGGTGGCACTGCGTCTGACTCTTCTGATGGGAGGCTCACGGCAACACAATTTCGGTTTCATTTTCACGCATATCAAATTTTTGGACACTATTTATTGGTAGAAAGATGCGCGTTGGATTTGATTGTTTTTAAGAGTGAAAATAAAGATTTGCTCGGACCTCTTTCAAATAATTATTGCTGCCGTTAGCTACCACTGGCAATAATAAATTAATCCACCTTAAATGCAGAGGCAGAAAGTCTTGCCGTGGGCTTACTCAGGCAGTTTGTACCCATTTTTCCGGCAAGGCTGAGTGTCACGGTCTGGGATCGTAGATGTTCGATTATACAACGGTTGGGCGTGGTCCCCTAAAAGTTGTATAATCAGGGTTCCTCTGTAGGAAACTCAAAGCGATTCTGCAGTTAACTTATACAAAATGCAACTTGTATGCATACTTTATATGTGTGGCGAATTCTCCATATGCCCCAGAAGCGAGGACCTTGCAACAGAAAACTGGGTAACATTTCCTGTGCCACCTTTTGGGGGCTTACACACCAGATAAACGATATTGAAGATAAAACTTGCATTTTCTAGGTTAGAAAAAGCAAGGAAGTGAGAGCTGTTGTACACACTTCGCGGCTTTCTCCCATCAGCCACAAAAAAATTGATTCTAGCAAAAATACCTTGGACAAGGCGGCACTAGGTTTTTTATGCAGAAAGCTGCGTTCCCTATGAGTACTTGACAGTCAGCATTACAGGCGGCACACATTTGTGACTTGCTTGCTCGAAGTTTTTCGGTATGTGGCGAAATCGTGACACTCCGCAATAAGGGAACGAGGAGGCATATTTCTTTGAATAGGGCCATTTAAGGGCCGCTGGGAGCCTCCACGGCTTGCTGGGAAGTACAAAGTTTGCCTGAGTCTGAACTGGGCAGCACCAAAGCACCTCTCGCATTAATATTCAAATTTGGCAACGGAACCTACTTGCTTGAAGCACCGCAGCGTCTTACTTTCAAACTTTTATTGCGATGCCTGATTACAGAGGGACTAGGCTTGTGCAATATTCGAATGCTTGTATATTCAAACAAATGATGCAGTTGAATTTGCTTTGAATCGAACCTAAATTATTGAAGACTTCTAATTATGTGTGACGAATGAATAGGTGCATATTAATCTGCATGTAAACCCTTCAGTAAAGGTGGTTTCACTGCAGTGGAGAGGTGCAAGTTATGAAAGCACTTAACCAAGTATGTATTAGTTCACATGAAACTTCATGTAAAAACGTGGTGTTTTTGGTGTCCTGGTATGTCATTGTGTAAATACTGCAGAGAAAGGGGTCACACACATGCAGGTGCCAACTTTCAACAATGAATAATCTGGAAACAATGTTCATTCCTGTAAAAGTGGTTTCACTACAGTGGAGTGCTGTTGAGCCGTGAAAGCACTTATCCAGGGTAAGTTCACATTGCCGCGAAGCCCCACTTCAAGGTAAAATGAAGATGTTACCTTCACATTGATTCATTTTTTTTCTTTCAGATTGAAAGCTCGTTATACCGACTTTTGTGCTCTAAATATAGCAAATTTCATAAGCTAACATATTTTACAGGTTATCACTTGCGTTCTACCGAAGTTCAAATCCTGCAACTGTTCAAACTTTGTTCCACTTTCTTTGATAAAAAAATGGCATTTGCACAGACCTTACTTGAGTTTTTAAGCAATATCCTACAGGTCAGTTTGGTCATGACAATGTGAGGAATTTACCTTGGGGAGCATTTGCGGAGGATGAATTTGAGATTAAGGTGCGAGTCAACAATAACATTGCTAATCTATTTTCATATTACACAAAATGGCAGATATACAGTTGAATCCCGGCACAACGAAGTCCGCTTCAACGAAATTTCCTCACAACGAGGTTTTTCCATTCCCCGTCGATGTCCCATAGGGTATAATGCTTCGAAATTCCCTCCAATACGAACTACTTCACGGCAGCATTTCCACTTCAACGAAGTTTTTTGCGGGACAGGCACGAGCAAAATTATTCAAATTACAGCTTATTGAAATTCTCAAAAGTGTTTTAATGCCTTGACCAACCATGGACCTTCATAACATTTAAAAAAAACACACACACACAAGATGTTGCTCAGAGCGTGCATACTGGGCGCGAAGGTGACTCGCTGCGCAATGTAAACAACACAAAGCCGCCATACATACCGCGATAGTGATGGCGATGCAATCAATGCAACGCGCTCTCATGTAGATTCAGAAGAAACGTCGGAAACGTTTTGAATCGTGTCTGTGTACAAACAACACGCATTAATTTGATTTTTATAGTATTTTTAATCATTTTTATAACGTTTGTGAGAATGGTTTCAATGTCAGGAATTTCCAATTTATGTGTACGTACGTACAAAATTGGAGATGCGAGGCAAATCCCGGTAGAGTGCGACGATGCGTTCGGACGACGGCTTCCGCTTCCGGTGGCTTGACTAGGGCTAGCTTCTTCCAACGAGCGATCGCACGCTTGGTCATTGTTTGATTGTTTCCCGAAGGTGCAGTAACGCGATCAACGATGGCGCAGCCGGCGAAAAAGCGCAAGTTTTTGTCGCTCGAAGACAAGGCTCGCATCATCGCACAGGCTGAAGCTGGAAAGAAGAAGGCACTCATCGCTGAAGAGTTCGGGATTGCGGCGAGCTCTCTGTCAACTATATTGAACAGCAAGGACGCGATAGGCAAAGCTCTAGCTTCAGGGACGTCTGCTAAGCATAAGAAGGTGACCCAGCCAGTGCACGAAGCCTTAGACAAGGCTGTTTACACCTGGTTCGTGGAGACGCGGGCCAAGAAAATTGCCCTTAGCGGCGATATTGTACGGCATAAGGCGCTGGATTTTGCCTGCATGCTCGGCATTGATGATTTCAAGGCCAGCGTAGGTTGGCTAAACAGATTTAAATCCCGCCACAGCATCATCGGCAAAGTGTTGTGTGGTGAAGCCGCTTCGGCGGATAAAGACGGCGCCGCCGCGTGGATGTCGGCCAGCCTTGGAAGCATCCTTAAGGACTACGCATCATCGGACATATACAATGCCGATGAGACCGGTCTATTCTACGAAATGTTACCGAACAAGACCCTGGATTTTAAGGGGCTGCGCTGTCAAGGAGGTAAACACAGCAAGAAAAAGATCACCGTGCTACTGTGCGTCAATATGGACGGATCAGATAAGCGACCGCTTTTGGTCATTGGCAAAAGCGCAAAACCGCGCTGCTTCAAAGGAAATCGGCGCCTTCCAGTGAAGTACGTGGCCAACAGCGGGGCGTGGATGACCCCTGCAATTTTTGTAGAGTGAGTCGAGGAATTCGACCGGGACATGGGCAGGCAAGGCCGCAAGGTTTGTCTGCTTTTAGACAATTGTTCCGCACATTCCATTGAGGACACGGAACTTGAGAACGTGCAGCTCAAGTTTTTGCCACCGAACTGCACGTCCATCATTCAACCCCTCGACCAAAGGGTCATCCAAAGTGTCAAGTGCACGTACCGCAAGCGCCTTATCCAAAGGCTGATTTTGAACACTCGGTTGGGTCGCGAAACGAAAATCGACTTGTTCATGGCGCTCCAAATGATCGCTGCTTCGTGGTGCGAGACGGGGAGCGCCGTAGTCGCGAACTGCTTTCGCCATGCCGGATTCGCAGTACAGTGTGCCGAGACTTCCGATTCTGCGATTGAAGCTTACGATGGCGATGCAGACCGCGATGAGGACAGGTTGCTGGACCAGGACGAAGAAATCGCAGTCGCTTGGGCAGACCTGCAGGAAAGTGATATGCCCGCCGACGTTCATATCAGCGAGTTCTTGCAAGCCGACTCTTGCTTGGTGGTGCGCGAGGAAATGACGGACGCAGACATCATAAAGAGCGTCCAGGAAGATGGTGTTTCGTCGGACGATGATGACACAATCGCGCAACGTGATTCCGCACTACCACCGACTTCACAGGTGCTGGACGCATTCGATATCATCAGGCGTTGCATCGGGTCGCAGGACGACGATGAAGCAATGGCTCTACTGGCAGCGTGCGAAAGTCGTGTTGTGCCATCGCTTGGCAAGAAGCGGAAACAGGCGAAGTTGAGCGATTTTCGGCATTAAAGCTTGTTCTTTTGCTTCAGCAAGTCCCGTGTCACGTATGTATTTCATCATATCGCGACAACGAATTTCCGCGATAACAAAATTTTGCGCCCGCCCCGTCAATTTCGTTGTAGCGGGATTCAACTGTACTAACACAGAGTTGACTCTTAAAAAGAGAGATGCACACAACGGTCGGCTATACAAGTGAAACCGGACCTAACATAAATCAGAGTGAAGTTCTATCCTAAGCCCTAGTCTGTGTCTATTTGAGGTGGTGTCTCGGTGGCTTCTTTCATGCGCTCCCGCAATAGTAGACCAATCTTACTGTTCTGATGCCTTGTTCCGGAACTATGATGAAGTGGTGCCATCATTAAAGTCGGCCTGGAAAACCTGTCTGAACGAGCCACTTGATCTCATTGCCGGTTGGTTCCAGTCTTTGTCGTGTTCTCTGGCTGTTAGGCTGCGCCTAACTTGACAACGATGTCTTGACTGAGGTGCAGGCCGCATAATCATCGGCCGCTATTAAACCAGCGCAACAGATGTCTTCAGACTCGGCATTGGGACCAAGGTCGACGAAGTCGACCTTGCGAAAACAGTTTTGTGCGCATGTATTCATCATCGCCGCCCACGAAATATTCACCATCTCCCCAGTTGAATACCGGACGTCCGAAGCGTCAAGTTGGCTGCCAGGCGGTCAACAGCTATGAGCAAGCGCTCCGCGACGCGGCACCTAACGCGCGAAATATGCTCAAGCCAAGCGGTCACACTTTCGACGTTTTGTTGAGTAGCAGGAAAAAGTGTGCTAGTTCTCCCGCCGGCCATTATGACCACACACGCACACCAAGAGCGAGCAAGACGCGCACACACGACACACATGCCAGAACGCGTGGAATAGCTCAGGTCCCGTTTCCAGTCAGAAAACAGAACTAATTCGAGCCAGCGTGGTTGGCGTTTGGAGCGGTGGAGACGGGCGAAAGGGTTGTGATGAAGAGAGGAGAGTAGACTTGCGAGAGAAAGGCAAGGAGTTGCGATAAAGAGAGGGGTGGATGCGGCGGGAGGGTGACTTTGAAAACCAAAAGACATGGGTGAGGCAGGTTGGCAGCTTGCTTGAAAGGTTCGCGAAACTCGCACGTAGAAAAACTTGGAAAGAGTGCCTGCGCACGCAGAAGTCAAAGCATGGCCGCCTGGATCTGTGCGTGCGGAGGTGTTCGAAGAATCGGCGGCCTTAGTCGAAAAATCGTTTTGTTGCGCTGGCGGGTTTGCCTGGCTTCAAGAACTTTGATATTTCGCGATTCGTTTTCCGCAAATTAACAGCCCTTTTCGTGCTTTCGCACGCGCGCGGAAGGTATGCTGAGTCGAGTGGGAAGTGAGAGAGAACAAGTCCTAAACACGAAACGAATGGCAAATTATCAGTCGGTGGGGTAGCGTATGCGCGTGCACTAGACGCAGACTATCGGATACAGTCGGTGGCCAACTATGTTGGCAAATGGTGTGGTCACTCCAGGCTGGCGACGCCAACGACAGTACTACGGATTAAAAACAGGGTAGATGGCCGACTGGTGTTCGAAAGATCGGTGGCAGTGTGAAAATAGGGGCCTCGGCTGGCGATGCGGGGTGCTCAGAGTAGCAGGGGGACAAGGACGGAGGGGTGCGTAACAAAAAGCAGATGGGGAATGGAGGAAGAAAACAGCTTTCCTTCCTCCATGGGTTGTGGAGAGCGGCAACTGGAGGATCGCGGAGGCAGGGTCGGCGTTTAACAATTAGAATGTATGGGCACCTCGCCGATGCCTGATCCATGGTCGAAATTGTTTCCCAGGAAGTCGGCAGTCGGTGCTGTAACCCATCAGCTGCGCTCGGAGACATTCGTTATAAGTGCGATTTTGTGCAATTGAATCAATGTGTATTTTCACGGTCACGCGGACGTTGTTCGTTTCAAGTGAAAGTTATTCGTTCGTTGTTCGTTTCAAGTGAAAGTTCGTTTCAAGTGTTAGCTCAATACACATGCATCACTGCAAGGGGAGCCCTCCATTCATTTAGCTTTCATTAATTCGATCTTCTTTTAATTTGAACAAATTTTCGGGCCCCTTACAGTTTGAATTATCGAGATTCAATTGTACTTTTAGAAATTATTCAACGAAGATCACTGTTGACTTCGAATTCACTTGGAACCTAAAATTCACTACTATTAGCACAAGCCTAGCAGTGATGAACGTCAGATGCAAAACACAAAAGCATTTTGTTTACATTTAGCTCCATAAGAAATTTCTGATAAGTGATTGGCGAGTACACTTGAGGAATAATGCAACCACTTTGCCCTGCATTTATTTCAGCTGCAACGTTTGACCCTCTTGAACCATTTGCGTAACCAGCATGCTTGGGTTGGCTGGCTTGACCAGAGGCCACCAATGTTTTGTCAGCGGCAAGTTGAATTTACCGGGGCTCTTGAGAGCGGTGTGGTCAAGTCTGTTGTCATCCCACGACAGAATGCTTCATGTGCTCATTTCGGCAAGACATTCCACTCATGTCGTCCACTGTTCGCTAAAAGCCAACTTTGCTCCATTAATTTAATTCACAGACCAAACTAGTGCAGACTGTATTCTCAATGCCAAATGCCTGTGTTAAGGTTTCATTCAAATTCCATTATTTGTACTGTTTTCGATTTATACCGATTACTATTGGCTCCGACTTGACATGCCTCGTGCTTCGGTCTCATAAAATGATATTGTTTTAGCGGAGCTTAGCTTCAGTGTGAGGAAAAGATGCTATACAGTTAAGAAGGGGACCACAGTCTGAGCGCTAACTTCCAACTCTTGTTTATTGTGTACCTATTATATACAGTAGACTCCTAATAAACGAAACTTTCTTAAATGAAATGGCTACTTAAATGGAACAACTGCCACTAATATGTTTAATTTCGTACTTGAATATTATACCCCTGTTTATCTCTCAATAAACGAAACTCCTCTTAAAGGAAACACATTTTCCTGGTCCCTTCAGGTTTCGTTTAAAAGGAGTCTACTATAGCTGATTCCACGTGACGCCGCACACATGACAAAACAGTACACGTGTGGCGCAGCCATGTTACTAAGGAAACCTAGTTGTGATCTGATCTCAAATTAACAATCCTATATCAACGCTTCACAGCACACGCTCCAGAAAATTGAGCTCTTTTTCAGATAAGGCCACAGACGGCGTACTCACACACAGCTTTGCACATTTTGCGATAGCGTTCATCTCAATAATTTCCCGCATCAACTGGTTACGACTGCGGTCCAAGATGACACCCTGGTCAAAAAATGGAGTGCATGCACACATCTTGCAATGCATAGCCAGGAAACCACCAGAAGAAATCTTTTTTACATTGAAAGAGTGCTCGCGCAAGCTGTCATTAACACACCTACCAGTCTGTCCTATGTAAACCACGTCACGCGACAGCAGGGACATGTAGACGCGAGCTAGGGAACATTCAGCAAACTTCGCTCAAACTGAGCTGTGCTAAAGCAATATCATTTTATCATGCACCAACTTGCCCAGTCAGCAGTACTTGTTGGGTCTCATGTAGAGTATGGATTTGTAAAACAAGTCTTTGTGTGAATTGTGCAGCCCATGGAGACGGAAGGTGGCATAGTGCAGAAGGAGAGCCGAATCCGCAGCTCCAAGACATCGCACCTGCCTCTGCTTCCCGAGCTGGACGTGTACATTCACCCCTGGTGCTGGTCTATCTCCTTGATGCACAGCGCTACGAGAAGGTGGGTGGCCGGCATCTCCATAAAAGTGGGAGGAAGCACTGCCCACTGTGCGTACACTCCAACAATGAAGGAGTCATCAAGAGTGGGTGATGCTTTCCATTTCTGGAAGTGTGAGCATGTCGGATGGCCACACCCCAGAAAACACTGCAGTAGTGCATGCCACACAACCTACCTGTGTGCAGTGGGCTCCTGTCAAGACAAACTTGGAAGCACCATGCTCTTAAAGGGGAGGTCGCGTTGAAAAAAAACATCTTTTTTATTTGTTGACCTACAGAAATGAAATTTGGCATGCATACTCATAAGTGTCTCGAATTGAGAAATATGCAGTTTTATCATGATACCTCAGTAGTTCTCAAGTTACATAATGCTACATAGTTCCAATTACATGGTCTGCTCGTGGAAAACCTAGCGCTGTAACAAAAACATGCCAGGAAGCTGTGAATGGTGTTGATCTTTACTCAAAAGAAAGCTACAGGGTATGGCAATCTAAAAATTTTTGATAAATTCTCTCTTTTTTTTTTTTTTTTTTTTGAGATCATCATGGCTGCCGACACACATTGTCAGAACAGTGGCACGGACAAATCAGTCGTAGAAAAAATAGGGCCATAAACAGAAATTGAAGATTGCTGTACCCACAAGCAGTGTTCAGGGATTTAGGAAAAAAAAAAACAATCAAAATCGGTCCAGTCATCCCTGTGCTACTCTTTTCACGAGCAATGCACAATGTCCAAAACACACTTGTGCGAAAAAGCCTGTCGAAGTTTTCAACAGGCTTTTTTTCGATGAACTTTCTTGTTTCTTGTTGGATATTGATGAAAACTGGCACAGAATGACCTCACAGTGCTTTCATAAAAATTTTGAAGCGATACCACAAATACCTTACGAGAGACAAATTATTTCTTCATTGAACTATGTGGACGGGCTGAGCCCGACTCTATTGAACCCGTTTATATAAAATTATCCCGTATATCGAACAATTCCTAAACACGGTAAGTTTACATTGAGAATATATAGCAAAAGTTTCTGTTTTATTGAACGAACATAGCAACGACAACTGATATATCAACTCTATGTGCCTCAAAAGTGCCCCAGCAAGTTGGCTTTCCCTCGCGGTGCGGGGGAAAACTGCCGGCGCCACTCTAGAAAAAGTTGGTTAGACACGGTTGTGCGTGGGCGAACACCCCCTCCAAGAAATGATTCTGGCCCGCCTCGCAGCGCTTACAGCCAAATCAGAGGCCGTCGTGCTTTCTCCGAGGCGCGGAGGTGGTAGAAGTGAGCGCCATTTTTTCTTTCTTTATGCTTGTGTGCCTGCTGCTGCCGATTCAGCATGGTCTGTGGTGTTGCCTAATGGTGCTCTGTGAACTGTATTGGCGCGCTGTCATCCTGGCTTGCGCAAAAGAGGCAAAATTTGTCGTTCGCCGCGAAACTCGCAGTCATCGATCGGGTTTAGCGCGGTGAAAGAAGTCTGACGTCGCTGCCGCGTACAAAATTTCTAGGAGAACCTTGAGTACTATCCTGAAGAACAAGGCACACATCAGGGCCAAGTCGGACAAAAGGCCAGGTGCCCGTGGCGCCTGGCCTTCAATCGGGTTGAGCATGGTGAAAAGAAGTCCGACGTCGCCGCCCGCGTACAAAATTCCACGGAGCACCTTGAGTACTATCCTGAAGAACAAGGCACACATCAGGGCCAAGTCGGACAAAGGCTAGGTGCCCGTGGCGCCCGACGTGTGCGCGCTGCTGTGTACGAAGATGTTGAAGCGGCCGTTTACAAGTGGTTTGTAGACGTTCGGCCGCGAAACATCCCGGTGTCCGGCCCTATGATCGAGCAGAAAGCCAAGGACCCTGCTTTTCTGCGTGGCAGGAAGGATTTCCAAGGTAGTTCAGGCTGGGTTCAGCGGTTCAAAGAACGGCACGACATGATTGGCAAAGCTGTTACAGGTGAAAGCAGAGCAGCGGACCTGGACAGCGTAAGAAAAATGGGTCGAGGAAGGACTGGCGAGATATCGCAGCAAGATATAGAGCCCAAAATACCGTAATTACTCGAATCTAACGCGCACCCTTTTTCCGGTTAAGCGAGTTCATAAATCGCATGCACGTTAGAATCGAGTACGAACAAAAAAATTACGGTCAATCTATTGCCATCGCAAATCCAATATGGCCGCCCCCTACGTGCGTCGGCATGGTGCACGGAGGCTTCCTCTGTGGCATGGTGGTCGGCTATTTCTGCCTATGTGTTTACCATGTGCGACACTTCGTACGTGTGCTGAGGAGTTCGTCATCTAGTAGTGCATTAGCATCGACGACGTGGAAGGGCCGACTCCAAAACTCGAGTGCACCACGATGCCGCTTTTAAAAGAAAAGTCATCGCGTGTGCAGAAACGGACGGAAATCGGGCCGCATCGCGGTCCTTCTCGAAACGTGCGTGCGGGACCGCGGAAACAAAAGCAGAAGATTGTCGACAGCAAAGCTTCACGCAAAGGCTTCAGTGAACCACAGCAGGGTCGGTTTCCGCAAATTGAAGAGCTGCTCCGCGAGTATGTGTTTGAGGAGCGAGCGGCACAGCGGCCCATGACGACAGAACTGCTCCAAGTGCGGGCTATGCAATTAGTCTTAGAAAAAAGTCTAATGCGGAGCCTGTTTAAAGCGAGCAGGTGCTGGCTAATTAACTATATGAAGAGGAAAGGCTCTTCCCTCCGAAGGGGAACATGCATATGCGAAAACTTTTGCGGAGAAGTACGATGAAAAGCTTTACAGTTCTCAGAGGTTCGTCCTAAACTTGCAGCGCAACAACGGCTACCTGCTTGGGCAAATCTGGAATGCCGATCAGACGCCTCTTTACTTCGACATGCCTGGCACCACACTGTCGAGAAGAAGGGGGCGAAGCAAGTTCGCGTGCTGACATCGGTCCACGGTAAAACTACAGTGACGGCAATGCTCTGTTACACGTCAGATGGGCACAAGCTTCGCCCGTACCTCATATTTAAATGGAAGACAATCCCGAAAGGAATCGTTTTTCGAGTGGTGTGATCGTGCGGGCCAGCAAAAAGAAATGGGTGCGCGTTGCAATCGATGTCTTATGTTTTTTTTTTTTTTTTTTTTTCGCGGTGGAAATCGGGTGCGCGTTACAATCGAGGGCGCGGTATAATCGAGTAAATACGGTAAACGTTTTTTGGCGAGTTTGATATACCCGGGTTCGAATTTATTGAGAAAGCTGCGTTTAAAGTTTCAACTTTTTTTTTACTTCTCTAAGATACCTAAAAATTGTGATCTCGGGTTTGTCTTGTGATACTTGACTTCTTTTCATGATTTACTCCTTTCATGATTTACAAAGAACAAGTATGGATTTCAAACCAAGTTTTTTGTATGAAAGGAGTGGTGTGATAGGTATGACAGAAAACATTGTAATTAAATAAAACCATATACTGAACTTATTACACACATTTTTTTTGTGCTGATGTTGTAATAGCATAATTAAGTACTTGATTACAAATATTCACTTAACTTTTCTTTATTTGGAGAGAGGTTTTTTGCAACAGAAAAATGATCACACATTGTCGGCCTATGCCTTCTTTCCAAATAACAAAGTTATGGGCAAGAAGACTGGTGGCACAGGAATTTTTAGCAGTATAATTAATGACTCGAAACGGGCATATAAAAATTCGTGCCCCTGATCATACATGCTCTTTTGCCGCTCTATGCAGCCGCAAAAACGCATCATTATACAGCCGGTCACGGAAACTCTAGTCTACAGCAATTCTTAACCTCAGAACATTCATAGACGTTCGTGGTGATATCAAGCATGGCTACAAGCATGTCTGAATCGCATCCACAAAAGCTCATTGACAGCACTCCATATGACCGTGGGGTGCGCGGCCTTGTGTACAGTGCACTTGCCGGCGGCGTTCGGTGACGATGCGCGAAATATGTAACTATGATGACAAAAGATCGGCACGCACTGCGCTTGGCATCGCGTTTTCGAATGATGACGCGCGAAACTGCTAGCCGCTGTCGAGCATTCCTTAGCAGTGAAGGGGGGTGGGGGGGACGAGCTTGACTGTGTTGTCCCGCTGCCGATGCGTAACAATCCCGTACGTGATTCAGAGAAGCTAGCAAGTGATGTGCTACGTTCCTTGCGAAGAAGCACGTCGCAAGAGTGCGCTAGCGCGTCGTTTCTGCCCGCAGTTTCGCTCCGGCGGAGTGCGGGCTAAAGACGACTCCGATGATGCGCGGAGCTCGTAGACTGCGTGCCGCTTGTAGTAACATGATCGCGCATCCGCTTACTGCTCGTAACTAAAGCGTTATTATATCTAAAGTGATCATAAAGCCGTGAACACAACACTATGTAGTGATTTTCGGGAGCCATGTCCTTGCGACGCACAAGCAGCAGACGACGATTTCCCGGAAGCGAGCATCGTGCCATTGGCGAGGCGAGCTGAGGCAACATGGCAGCCATGGCCAGTCAAGGGCCTCAAAACAACCTTCAAACATTTGCCTTTTGTGCGCTTGTTGTTAAAGGGAGGAGCCAGCTGAGGCAGGAAAGTTAAACATGGAGAATGCCCTTTCTGATGAGCCCAAGAAGCTGGCTCTCAGCCCAAGCATGGCAAAGCTATAATTTTTTAAAATCGCTGTTTTCTCGCCATTTCCAGAAAAAGTTTTGCTACCTTGGTGGATGAAACGAATTTTCCGAAGCGCTTCTGCGCAGTTTTCAGTGTAGATATTTTGGTACCAGATGGAAAAGGGTTCCAGAAACGGAAAACTTGAGTTTCAAAAAATCAATTTTTTGCCATTTTTCGCAATCCTAAAGCCGCATCCCCCCTTGAAAGACGTGCTTAGTGCGTCCAAATGCCTTGGTGATGCAAATCTCGCGGGGTCACTAATACAGTGTAGGCCACTCGGGGGGAAGGGGGGGGGGGGGTTGCTAGCACCGCCTGCAAAGTTGTTTGCGCCTTGTGGCACACAGGTGTCTTGCGGATAGGCCACATTTAAGGGGGGACTTGACA